ATAGATAGATAGATAGATAGATAGATAGATAGATAGATAGATAGATATGGATATAGACAGACAGAAGTTTATAGTTTTTACAATGTTTTATCAATTTATCAAGCATCCACTGCACTAGAAGCAATATTCATTCATATTTACTTTATCTTCCAAAGCTGCCATTCTTTCTTTAAGGTGAAGCTGAAGTCTCTCATTAGATTCAGATAAAAGTTTATCAACTGTATCAGATAAACGTTTATTATGTTCTTCATTCATCTTCTCTCTTTGCCGAGCCTAAATAAGAGGAATAGGAGGAAAGGGCAGTAAAAAGAAAGTAACAAGAATGAGCACCACTATGTTTTGCATACTTAATGTATCTCAACCCTGGATTTTTATCAGGCTTTATCTTTGTTTTCCCAAACATGATACCTAGCAAATTTTATATCATTATCATCTAAGTTAACTCTTTTGAAAGGCCACATGAAATAACAGATTGGTTGAAATAGGCATTTGTTCATATAGTTACCAGATGTCAATCCTGACTCAAGTGAAAACTGTTGTGTGATTTTAACATTAATGTTTCATTACAGGCAGATGATTCTGTTCCTACTTAACCCTTTAATGCTACCTAATTTGTTTTTACTGGTATTTCATGTATACTCCAAGACAAGTTTTACCTACCTTATTTTAACTTCATGTAAACTATGCTTTCCTCTGCCAACCTGAAAGTCATCAGTTTTTTATGTCAAAGAAAAGAGACACAATGTTATCACTGTAATGACATACCCTTAGTAGTTCTTGATTTTTCTCTTCTAGCTGTGTTTCCATTTGTCTCAATCGTTCTTCAATGTTTCCATGTCTTTCTTCAGCCTGCCATTTTAAATAATACTGGTAATTAAAATCTAAGAATGCATTAGAAGAAAAAATATTAGCAAACAAGCATATCATGCTGTATGAGACTGCTATTTTTGTTCACACACTGCAAGATGTTCAAGATATATTACTGCCAAGGCTGGCAAAACACAGTGGATGAATTCATGCATCAAATGAGCTATTTATTTTCTCACCCCATAACATCTTGCTATGATGGATGATTGAAGTAACAGGAAGTCTTGACAAAAGAGATACCTTTGCATTATGCATCTCAAAAAAAAACCCTCTATTATCTTCCCCACGTTCATTTTAATGTGTGAAAGTTTTGTTTTTTAAAACAACAACAAGCAGTAGCAAGCAGAAATAAGGACTTAAGTCCTTTGTATAAATTCTACCTTCCTAGACAGGGAAGTATATTCGAACAGATTAACATCTTTAGTTGCAGAATTCCGAGAAGGCAAACAGTCAAGCTACAAAAATAAGGAATAGAATGGTAGCAAGAAAAAACAAAAAGGAAATGAAGTGACATTAAGAATTTACTTTTAAAGTAACAGAAAGTGCTGAGATGAATATGCTAACAATGAAATTGAAAGAAAAAGATGACTCAATTCTTTACAATTTGGAACAATTGGTATAAGTGGCTAACAAACAGAACCAAGAAGTGAGACAAAAATGTTAATTGAAACAACCCTTAAGAAAGTAAAGTAAAATTTTGTAAACTATATAAAGATGTAAGAATAGTAATTATAGCTAAAATATTATTTAATAGTAGATAAATGCAATATAATGCAATATGATATTTAAATCAAAATCTTGTATAGATGCCAAGAACATTGTTGTTACCATGATGTTTTACAATGTAAAAAAATAAAAGAAAATTAATAAAAATTATTTTTAAAAAACAAACCAAATGACAGCTACAGAATGGCATAGAATATTATAACATTGGAAATACTGAAAGATACTTTTGAAAACTGGAAACAGAAGTTAATATTGACAGTGTCAAGAGTGATGTTTGCTTCTATGGCTAGACTGTGTGCAAAAGATGTTTTGACAAGACAGAGTTGACACTGGAGGTAAATCTACAAACAGAAGTTTACACAATGACATAAAGACAGATGTTTCATTGGGCATATCAAATAGTTAATGCTGATTAAACCAGTTAAACTGAAAAGTTAATGCCAATGTTAATCAAAAGTGAATTACAAATAAGCCGAGTAACCTGGATAATTCTTTTATATTGGATTTACAGAAGATACTTTCTAAAGCTAAGATGAATCTCGTGAGAAAGGGTACAAAAGGAATGAAAAGAAATTGAGTTCCATAACATTATTTGGATGTTGAATTACTACTTGGATAGAATAAAGATTAAGACTGTTAAAAGTAAAAAAAAATTACTTTTAAATATTGGGTACAAAATTGCTGGAGTCCTTAATCTGTCCTACTAAGAACTGGAAAAAAAGTTTATAAGACAGTATTTAAATCAGGTACAAAAGGCTATTTCAATATCTTCAAAGCAATTAAAAACAATGAACTACTATATCAAAGGATTAGAAAACAAGATAAACAGACTAGATAGGCAATTTGAATCACCTGGTTAAAAAATGAAATGCAAGAAATCCCAAATGATCAAGAACCAACTGTTTCTACTAAATATATATCATACAGTCAGCCTACCTTAGTAAGTGCTGCTACTCTCTGAGCCAATTCAGCCTCTACTTCTGGCAGAGTTTCAGCTTTTCTCAGAGTTTGCTGCAATTTTTGTTCGGCCAGTTCTAATCGTTCTTGTAACTGCCTATTCTTGTCTTCACTCTGGAAGCAAAAATAAAGTTGCTTAAAGCAACAGCTGCAGACATTATTCTGTGTGACATTTTAATAGTTTCTGCATTAGCAAAACTACTTGAGCAAATCGATGTGTTAGATTGCTGAAATTATATACAACCATACAACACAACATTCAAAAGCAGATTTATATACGACCATTACAAAATGTACATTATTCTATTAAAAATGTGTAAAAAATTTCATTTTGTCTGCCCTAACTGAATATTGGGATTCAATTTTATTGGGTAAAACTGAACTTCTGCAAAAGTGTTATGGATGCCACTGCAATATTAAATGCAGACTTGGGCAAAAAGACACTTTTTTGTTTTTTTTATTTTATTTCATCCTAAATAAAAATATCACAGTTTGCAAAATAAAAAGTCAAACACTAATTAAATGCATCCACTCCATGTAAATCCTAACCTTTGTGATTATCTTCTATGTTATCCTGATTTTGCTCCCCGTGAGGGTGCTTTATCTCCTTCAGCCAAAAGTCATCTAAGATTGTGACAACTCTCCCCTTTCCTTTCCACAGGGGATTTCATTTATAATTTATTTTTAGTTTAGTTTTTTTTTTTAAGGGGTAATAAATTTGCATAAATTTTATCCATGTCAAAATAGATTGAATTATTATATATATATATATATTCCCCTTCTGATCCAGAAATTTTAGTATTAATTTATGGAAACCTCAAAGTATTATTTAAATAAGTTTACCTGTCGATGCAATGAATCTTTGTTAGCAATTTCATTTTCAAGTTTATCATTAAGATCATGCACAGATGTAGTTTCACGTTGTGCAGCGAGGTAGCGTTTTTCAAGAGTTGTAATTCTTTCTTCCATATCTTCCTTCTGAGCCATTGCCTAAATTAACATTGTCAGATAATTACAGAAATATATTCTCCCTCCAACAGCTTGTCTTAAAAATTAATAGCTTTTATTATAGAAACCTAAGGGAATGATCCAAACAACCATATGGGATACAATTTGTAACAACTGCAGCTTTCTTTAATCTGCAAACTACTAATTATACTAAAAGCATTCACCATTAAAAGTGTAAATATTCCAAATATATAGTTTACTTTTGATATTTGAGGAAAAATTTGAGAATTGTATTTGGAAACAGAAATAAGCTATTTTTAAAAAGCCTCCAGAAATTCCATGGGAAAGGGGAATCTTTTAGCCCCAAAATATTATTTCAAACTTTGCATATCTACCAAGTACCAACATTCTTATCCTTCTTAGTAGGAAGTGTAATAGGACATCTTTTTTTAGAATCCATCAATAATCAATATTTCTGAGTTGACCAATTTTAGAAGTCATAGTAATATCAATAGGTCTCAATATGCTAAATTAGCTTTGTTTTGTGTGATCATCATACTGATTCACATGGCATGGAAACTGAGAACAACAGAGTCTTTAATAAAAACAACAACTATAAAAGCAGTTGTTCTTCTCAGGTTGAGAACTTATTGATATGTAGTTAATGGAAATAACCTAAACCTAGAACTTACATCAGACGACCAGACATGCTTAACTCATGGGGAAAACAAGTACACCGAACAGTGAATATAATTAATTAAAATCATATTTAAAAGTGATTTATTCTTACTTCTCGTACGTCTCTTTGCAACTTCGTGTTCATTTCTTCAGATTTGATTAGATCTTTTCTAGCAGTATCAAGATCTTCTTCCAGTTCTGCTACTCTGTTAGAAAGGGCAGTGATTCTCTCTTTCATTTGCGACTGTTCTTTAGTTTGCTTTTCTATGATATCTTGAAGTTCTATCACTTTAGCAAGATCTTCATCATGATTCAAAGAGCCATTGGAAGATCTCTATTTAGAGGAGGAAAAAGCCAGTTAATTAAAAAAAAACATTAACACCATGACCATAGATATGTGCCATATAATTCTTCATACTGAACCACAGGTCCCCAATCTTTCCAGCTTGATGGCCCAGCATGAGGAGGATAGGGGATAGTTCCGTGAGAATGACAGAGCTCCATTTGCAAAAGCGCAAGCTCTTGCCACTTGCAGCTCCACTCACACGAGCAGCAGGTGCTTGTGTAGCTCGCGTGGTCCAGTTCCGAACTGGCCACTACCTGAGCCATACCCTAGGGGTTGGGGACCTCTGTACTAAACCACCAATTCAAGGGAGAACAAAAAGAATAAATAGCTTGTTCTTATTACTTTTCAGGATTTTTTTTACCATTGTGGAGTTCTGGTCTTCACTCGAAATTAAAGAACCTGCCAAAAACATTTTTTGCCTGAAAATGGTATTTCTCTTATTACTTGAACATCCTCTATCAAAAAATGATATTGTATATAGATTAAATGATCAAGAAAATAACACATTAAAATAGCTTACTTGCTCTTTTTTTATTGGAATGGTTCGGAGAAATAAGTTATATTGCTGCACACAAGCAGATTTTGTCCTCTCAAAAAATTGAAAAGGCTAATGAAAAGATGCTTTAAACCTACCTTCCCATTAGTGCTAGGTATATTCTCTTGATGATTAATATCAGACATTCCATCAGCTTGTGTTCTTTTTTGATTGTTTTGTTCTTTCAAAATCATTAACTGGAATAAAAAGAATAAAATACTATATTAAATGACATGCAGTACTTCAAATAAAAAAGGAACATTTAACACATATTTGCAATGATAATATTCACAAAATAGATTCACGAATGGATAATGATGATAGATATATTAATGACCTTAATTTTAAAGAACCATGGTCAATTCCTATAATCTATTCAGAAGATGTTGATCAAATAACAAGCCTGCCTTAAAACATAATACAAAAAATTTCTAACAATAAATCAGCAATTGTCATATATTAGTAATCAAGATTGGACAATCAATTTTTAATTTAAGCTAAAACAGTTTAGGTATCTGCTAGTGAAAACTCAATCCTCGTGAAAAGATTCCATGGAAAATTAATAGCTACACAGTTATGAACCTGGACAGGTAATTTTTAGAATTCTGAAAAAGTTCAAGAAAGCAGTAGTGGGAGCTTGCATATTTTTTAAACTGGAGAAATTAATTGGTAGTTCATAAGCTGTGAACAGGAAAGTATCAGACCATGCCTTTCCAGTCTGATCATCTAGAAGGACCTGTTGAAAGTATCCCCTTTTTGCAAGCTACGTGAACCACACAGAATGCCCAACCTGTGGAATATTATTCTATTCTATTCGTATTTCTATTCTATTCTATGTAGTTCCAAACTGTATTGTAATTGCAATGTTAAGTCCATACTAACAAATTAAATCTGTTTTATTTCACTATGACTTTGCTCACCTGAGTGAGGTGTATCTACTTTGGAATTTGATTTTCCAGCAAGGTATTAATTTTACCCATAAAATCTGTCTCATACACCCCCCAAAGACCCCCCAGTTTTGGTCCCACCCATTTCTTGCTATATTATAATATATATCACTAGCTTAATTTCTCAGGGCCAAAGAAACTGCCAAACAGCCCCTGATTACAAGTAAGCTTTCTCTTCCTTGATAAGTCCTGTGCAAGCCTGACATTTTTTTTTTACATTTGTAGTTTACTGGAAATAACTTACCTCTTTATGTGTAGTACCTAGTTCTTCCTCTAACAAGCTACATCGTTCAAGTGCTACTCGTAATCTTTCTCTTACCTAGGAGATTAAAGTTAACATATAAACACCAAACAATCCTGCTGGCATTAGATGCTGAAATATTCAGTAACTATCAAGAATAAACTTATATCAGTAATGTCGGTGAATGGGGATAAATCTTAAAAACAACACAAATTTATCAACACATTTCCGGTGACTGGAACCATCAAGTGATTAAGCAAAACTAATTATAAGCCATTATGCATTTTCTATTACTTTTGATGGCAATATGTTTCTATAATAGAAAGGCATATGGGGTAGACTATATGGTACCCTTTTAGATTAGTCATATGGTCAATAATTATGGAAATGATCATGAGGTATTATGGAAGCTGTAGTCCATTCATGGATGTACTGGACAACCACCACCACCGAACTTCATAACTTAAATGAATTATCACAGCAGAAATTTAAATTAATGCCAATACTGCTATATTAGTTGTGATTTATGCCATGTACCAGAGCTGAGGCAACAATAATAATAAGCTTTGCCTGAATAGAAATTGGAAGGGCAATATTTATTTTTGCTTCATTTTATGATTTAGATCAACTTACAACACCAATTTTGAATTTTGGTCTCTTGATGTACAAACAAAACATATTACATAAGCAACAGATGTTTAGTCTATATCTCCATTTTTTAAAAAAAATACCAGACTGCTCTTAAATGAAAAGAATTGAAAGAACTAATTTTCACACTAATAAAATAATAGTTACTACATGTTTTTAACATATATATTGGCAGTTACACTGTACACTGCCTAGAGTTTTCTTGGAGCTGGGCAGCCTTAATGAATCCTATAAAATAAATAAAATGAAAACAAAATTATCATGAAGAAGAAAAAACATCAGTAATCATTTACCTTTTCATCAAGGGCTTTGTGATGTTCAAATAGAGACTTTAGTGCTTTGAGAACTTCAACTTCACTAGAAACACCAGCTGGAGATTGAGCTTGTCTTTTTACTACGGTCATTCTTAAAGACCTTTCATGCCGGGAAACAAGGCATTCCAAATGTTCTAGTAGTAACTGAAAATCAAATGCAATTACATGAGAAAAAAGTAGGATATATTAAACTGAAGAAAATGATATTCAAATATATTTCACTATCAGTGAGACATAACTTTGTTTCTGCTTCTCTGTAAAGATATGCAAGTTATATCCAATTATTATATATTATCATTTTTGAAGATGAATGTAACTTACAGGAAAAAAATGCACTTTTATAATGTAAACAGCAATCTATTCATTATTCAAAAGTATGAAAATCTAAGTTTTCATTTTTTCTTTTATTTTTTAAAAACCAAGTATCATTTTAGTCCAGTCCTTAATTCATATAAATTGATGTCTAAAGGCTACATGCACAAAAAATTGCTCATCTAACACGGAACCTCAGAAATGCAAAGAAAAAATAATATGTTTATCTTCTTGATCGATGTAATGGAGAACATGGTAATGTTGAATGTTTCTGATTTAGTTGCTTAAGTTATCCAGGAAATCTATGATTTATGACTGGTCCCTTAGCAACTGTTTGTAGTTCTGACAAACCCCAAGCATGGGATTTATGACATGGTTTTGGAGCTCTGATGTCCACCCGACACAATACGTGATCACATTTTGAGCTCTCAACAACTGCCCGGTATTTACCGTCATTTGTAGCACCCTGAACCTGTGATTTATAATGTTTTTGCCAGAAAACTGTGTTTACTACCGATTTCTGGGAAAACCCATCCCATAGCAAACAAGGGTTTTTTAACAATCATGGCATTCACTTAATGACTGCAGGATCTGCTTAAAGATCACTAAAAAAGTAATAAAATTGGGTCTGGTCATGTGGTGACTCACTTTATAACCATCACAACTTATGACCAAAATTGTGAGCGCCCTCATAGATGTAAGTCAAGAGCTATCTGTAAGTTATCTTAAAACTAGGGATAAGTATCACATTGTAATATGCAATAATCATATAAGTATAATACCATAAACATTATTTGGCTTTATATACTTAGAGACGTCAATATCATCTACATAATTTTTAATACTCTACAGAGCATATAAATACAGCAGACATTGCTTCATGTCAGAAGCTTTACTTGTTACAAAAGAACTTTGTTGCATCACTTTAAAGTGAGTGATATTTGGGGAGGAGGAGTTTAAAGGTTAAATGTCTACAAAACTAACCTACACAAACACATTGAAACTTTGTTAGGAAAGTCTATAATCACACACAATTCTACATTCTCACTGTTTTAATCTAAAATAGCTTGTTCACCTACATTCTTTGTAAAAATGGGCCATTTCAAAATAAGGAAAGAGTGCCATTTAAATATTTGTTATAAAATCTGATTATATCTTGAACACTTTTCTTTAAAAAATATATCTCTAACTCTAATTTCTTTAAATAGAAATTGTTCTGAAAAAATTAATCAGCAAATTTTGTGCTTGACAGATTTCAGGTTTCATAAGAGTATTAGGCAGTGCATGTAAATCATGGATTGCTAATCTCTGCTTTGAATGATTTTGAATTCATTAAATAGTGATACACCCAATGAAGTGTAAGTTCATGACAGCCAGTTGAGTTTACCTTTCTCATATTTGTATTGTGTAATAAAAACCTGGATTAATAGGTTGGGCTAATGACTGCAAATATCAACTTTGAGTCTTTTCAGAAAACTCAGTTAAAGGATCGCTGAGAGACTATATATTAATGACCTGCAATTAGAAATCCAATAGTTTTGGTATATGAAAAGCATAACAAGGGAACAAATTATCCTACATAAATATTATGCAAGTTAAATACACAATCTTGATAAATGAAATGTTTTTCTTAATAGGTGGAAGTTGCTGAAATTAAGGCAGAAAAATAAAATGAATAATTTTATTCACTACTGTATGAAGGGTTCCATTCCAAGAAAAATTCCTAGCACAAAAAGAAACAAATGATACCAGAAGATGAACTGACTCTTGTATTGTTTCTTTCTGCTTTCAGTTCTGCGATTTCCTCTTCCCTTTCAAGGAGTTGCTCTCTGCATATGTTAAGCTCTTTAGTAAGTGCTGCAAACTCCTGAAAAAATATAAGCAAATAATAATTATAAACATTTACATCAATATGTATTGTATACGGCAGTAGAATATAGATAACTTTGACTGAAGTTATACTAAAACAAAATACTATGCAGGGTATCTTAATATCACTTCTAGAAATCATGATTATATTTTATACAGCAGTACTCAACATGAGCCATTCTATTTCATCCAAGCTTTCTATTTCTATTGGATGAAAATCACTAGGGAATCCCGAAGTTAAAAATAAGTAATGGTAGAGACCTCTGATAAATGTCAAGAAAGCAGCATAGTTCTGTTTATATTATTACCTGGAGATCATCTCAACCCAAGGGCAAGTTTATGTTTTTAAAGAATAAAGTAATGCTAATATTAATATTATTCTTAAGTATGTAAACTGAATTATATGATCATTCTGGCATACACAACTTTGAATATTGTTACATCATCGGACAGAATTCCTTGTTCTATCTACTATACAAGACTTTGTTACTTTTCTGGTTTAAAACAAAGTATGACTTTTAACAAAGAAATACCGGTAGTGCCAAATATTACAGTTAGTATCAACATCTCACATAACATTCAGGAAGAAACAGGAATTGGATGTCAATGAGAAAATTTTTTTCCATAAAAAGTCAGTGATTGGCCAAAACTCATCCAATGAGATATTGTAGCCAAGAAATTTTTTTTGATGATAAATGCAACCAGGAAGAACTGACAGTCCATTTGTGGCATAGTTAGCAAAACTAAGTCTGACATTGCTTTCTTTTCTATCAATAAGTAAAATTTACCATTTTGTTTCCCACTGCTAAGTGTCCTTCCAAATCTTAGCACAGCTCTTTTGTACATCCAGGAGGGGAAAATATCCAATTCAATTTCTGGTTTGAATATCAGTTCCCCTCCTTTGTGTCATCCATAAGAGTCATTTGTATTATATTTAAATTCCCCATCAAATTAATTTCATAGACATTCATTATAGCTCATTCTTGTTTTACAATTTATTAGAACATACTTTGTCAATTTTATCAAATCTCTGAATCTATTCTATCCAAAACCTTGGCTGAGATGTATTCAAGAGTTTGTATTAAGAATTTTGTGCTCCATTTTCTTTATCCTTCAGCTCTAGTGTCTAACTTCAATGTTTCTTCACAAAATACAAAATTAAAGTGATTTTTTTCATGTTAGAAAAATATTTTCTAAATAATTCAAAACTATAATTCTAACTATAATTCTGCCTCCTTAATCTGCTATCAACTTTCTAAAATCTGTACACCATTTTGCAACAATCCAAACAATCATATATTTTAAAAAATGTTTAAATCAAATTTACTCCATCATCTTTTAAGGAGGTAGAAACTCACCCGATGAACATAGTAAAATCTTGCCAGTTTGAAGGAATTTATATCTTTCCAATATACAAAAAAATTAAAAAAGAATCAAAGATTTGATTAAAATATAAGACATAGTTGAACTTAATGTAAAGCTTGATGTAAACCTATCTCCAGCCACTCCACATATAAGCTGACTGTAAAGGCAGTTATGCAGTCTACTCACAAGGAGCAGGTATCTGGAGTCACCTGAATGATCTCAATGAATTCTCCTTTGTTACAGAGAATTACACCAGCTTGGATCCGCTGTCCAGTCACAATTCTCCTTACAAAAGCTGTCTTGCTAGTCAGCAAAAGCCAGCAAGACATCAGTTCAACGTGAAGCTCAAAGGAAGTATCTGATCCGAATATTAACCCAATACAAAAGCTTGGTTTAAATTATTGGAAAACTATACTACTTCTACATGGATGAGTTTGAATAAACTTCCCACTGTCTTGTGACGCCATATTGGAGACAGTAATCTGTCTGAAAGTACTGTTTAGATTTACACCAGATGCATCAGTCTACAACTTGCAGATGCTTTACATATTTTTCTTCAATTAAACTTCTGGCTTTACCCTTAGAGACAAAAATAAATACATCTCTTAAACTTTCTCAGAACACAGCAATACAGCTAGTAAGTGTCTATATATCCAGGTTTGAGGATTTTGGAAAGGGGTAGCAAGTAATGTTATTAATCAGAATATTAAATATAGTTTGGATAATTCTAGAAAATATTATATGTTCAAACAATCTTTTCCATATTTTCTAGCCACACAGTTTATATTCTATGCTTATGAATTTTTGTGTCACTTTTCAGCATGTATTCTTATGCTATCACAGTATTATTACCAAAATATTTCATTACAGTATTCTTAAAGACACTGGCATTGAAAGTATTCATCAATGTAATTCTTCTTGGATTGACTTTACTGTATTTTTTTACCAGTTGCTTTTATGATCTTTCCTTTATGGACCATCTGCAGTCAGATGAATTGAGCAAAATAAAACAATAAGCTGTCAAGGGAAATCCAACAATGATTTAAACAATAACAATTATTTCAGTTTTATTTTCAAGATAATCAATCCCATTTCCTAATTCCAGAAAATCCATCTTAAGCAGCAAAGGATATATATACTTTTGCTGAACATTCTTATTTTCCTTATTTTCAAGAGAAACTAATGTAAGATAGTTGTTCTCCAAAGCCTCTCCCTGAATGGCCAGAAATTGCCTACTACATTTCCCCTTTCTTCAACATGGACAAGTAAGACTTCATTAGTTTGGTAATGATATAATGAATATGTGTCCATGCATACACATCCACACGGCACTGCTTGGTTTGTTTCATGACTTGAGTAAAACAGGTGATGGTGAGGATCAAGAGGCTCACTATTATCCCTCCATGTAAAATTCAATGTAAATGTTTCTTCCTTATGCCATGTAATGTTTCATGCCTAGGTATTAACCAGAGTGTGGAATTGAAAAATAATAGAGAAAATGTTTCATGGACATGCGAAAGGTCAGTTTTCTACTATTCACGACAGTCCTTCCAAACACCTGAGAATTTTATTAGGTTCATGAATTCTATCACATTGCCTGAGGTGAAGTCTCCACAATCACCAGACCAGAATTTAAAAACATTTTATTGCTTGGAAAATAAAATAAGATTATAATTCCATGTTCATTACTTTCTAGGAATATAGAAACAGGTGATTAAAAACTCTTTAGCTTCTTTGTGTCTGCTGCTCCTTCCAGAAATTCAAGCTCTAATCCTTATTTAGGAATGAAATACACTAATCTACTTATACAATGTGTGGGAAAGCCAAGAGAGCCAGTTTTAATACAGTTTAGAATACAAATATAATAGTTAATTATTAGTTTGTGTTTTATGCAATGATTAAAAACTTTGAACAGATTGCTCTGGACAGCAGTTGACATTTTTCTTTTTATAATCTTGTAAATATTATACCTATTTATGATGATTTTGCTGTCATCATGTTTATATCTTTAAAATACTTGTCTATTTGACTAATAGGAGGAAAAATAACCAGCTGATCAAAAGAAAGATACATGTATCTTTTGACAGTCATGGATAACTTTTAGAAATCCAAACTATTACCATTTTAAATTAAGAGAAAGCTTACAGCAAATAATAGTTCTTTTTACCTCTTTTTTAAACCAACAACTGGAGAATCAAACTTGCTATGGTAATATATAACTTTGTAATGAACCTATTGCTTTTATGGATTTTGTCCCATATGCAATAATATCTAAAAGAAGTATAAGGCAATAGCTTACATTTTCAGCAACTACAAGTCAACTTTTTTCTAAAGCATCCTTCCTATGCTAATTTACCTAAAAAGAAAATTTAACAGTATTTTATTTGAAAGTTGTCGTGCATTCAAAGTTGACAAGAGTAGTTTAATATTCTGTTATCCTTTTTAAGGCATTTATCTGCAGTATTTGAGGAGGAGGAAGAAAAACATTTCTCTAAATTGTCTCTTTTTAATGCATATAATGCAAAGGAGATTTTTTTTTTAAAAAAAAAAATTGAATAATCCAGTAATTCTAGTTCAACAAGTTTGTAACATGAGAAAAACAACTTTTTTTCAATAAATCTTAAAAGCATTAATTGCCTCTTATATCACTTTTAGATGTTATATTTTTATAAAATTAAATTTTTCATTTTTGTTAACAGTTCACATTAAAAGATAAATGACATTGAAATTAATGAAAATATTGCTGAACGATGAAAACTATCAGAATCTTAAGATAACAAAATTCTTATTTTGACAAATGGTATGCATATTAATGAACATTATTATATTGTCACTTTGGAACTGATTTTGCATGAATAAGAAGGTAAAAACAAATTATTTTTGTGAAGTTTAATTGATCACATGTACCACTGTTTACGTTTTACTATTCTTACTGTGTTTCTCACAAAATAAGGCCAGGCCTTATTTTTTTTTTGAGCCCCGAAAAAACAGCTAGGACGTCTTTTCGGGGGTGAATTAATTTCTTTCCCCCCCGCGCACCAGCGCCGTCTCCAACAACAGCATCTGAGTCGCTCCCACTTTTCCCCCATCCCCATAACAACAGGAAAAAAAAGATTTTGAGGTACTTGGGAGCACCGCGTGCTGCATTTTGGTTTAATCCCGAGTGGCTGGGTGGGCGTGAGAAGAGCCGAGCGAGCATCTCTGCTGCTGCTACCCTTGGGTGTTCTAGCATCAGGCTCTGCAAGTTTGCACAAGTCCCAGTACGCAGCCCATTGCTGCATTCCAAGCACCCAGGCTGAGCTGCAGCTGTCCCTCTCTTGCCAGTGTCTCCAATAACAGCGGCAGCAGCGGCGGGAACCGTGGAAGCATTTCAGAGGAGCCACCTCTGTAACTTCCACGGTTCCCGCTGCTGCTGCTGCTGTTATTGGAGACGGCACTGGCGAGAGCTGGACAGCTGCAGCTCGGCCTGAGCGCTTGGAATCCAGGAACAGGCTGCGCACCGGGACTTTTGAAAACTTGCAGAGCCCGAGGCTGGAACACAAAAGGTAGCAGCAGCAGTGACGCTTGCTCAGCTCTTCTCACACCCACCCAGCCGCTCGGGATTAAACCAAAATGCAGCGCGCGGCACTCCCA